TTTTCTTCACTCAGATGAGTGAGGCGAGGGGTGTAGGTGAGGAGGACGACTCGGCGTCCTTCCCATGGCTCTGTTTGATGCCATTGTCCTGGAGGAAATGATACTGCCTTCCCTGGAGCCAATTCATGTAGAACTCCTCGTTTCCATTGTCCAGGCTTTGTTTCTCTCCAGACATCGTCGTGGCCATAGTCCGTCTCCTTCTTTTCCACCCATACCTGACCATTGTTGAAGTCAGTCAAGGCCGTCACGGTGTTAAGCGTTCCCTCTTGGTTGTGGCTGTCACGGTGCGGGGCCATACTCACATTTTCTACCACGGCCACACTCCCAAAGTCGCCGCTCCCGGTCATCTCCTTTGCTGCCTTCACCAGGTACGCAGTGACATTCGGTAGCTGCCTTGTCAGCTTCATGATGCCACAAACGCCGCCATGTGTGTAGCAACCCGCATAGAAGGAACCTCCGTTGTCCTTGACCACCATGGATTTCATGCCTCTTCTCGTTGGTCGCGGAATGCTTTTCAACTTCTCCCAGAGGTTCAACACGTCTCCGGGCTCATACATCTCCTCAACATCCAGCTCCTTCGCGTAGGCTTCAATGTCCTCGTACGGGTTGGTGATCAGTGCTAGCCGGGCCTTTGTTCTCAACCTCCTTTCAGGCACTGGCAGCTCGACTTCCACCGGGCTGCCATCTGCAAGGGCTTCAGCATCAACCAAACCTTCTCGGACATGGCAACTCGTAACGAAGGTGCCATCATCGTACCTGACGACCAAGCCATTCTTCACATCGCTGCTGTAGCCCACAAACCGGCCTTCACCCCACCGAGGGTCCAGATCATAGGACCCCCCAGTTCCAAAGACCTTTGTCTTTACTGCAACCCCGACTCCAAAGGTGGGGTCCTTGGTGGTAGGCTGTCCCAGCGCCCGCTTTCTTTGACGTTGAGCAGCATAACTCATTGCCAAAGGCCAACATTCTCTCGGTAACGACGAAGCTCCCAACAGCACCTTCGCATACTTCTTCACGCTCTTGACCATGGCCTCGGCTCTTCCGTTCTGTTGGGGTGTCTGTGATTCACCAGTAGTGATCCAAACGTCCTTCTCGTAGAGCCATTGCCGGAGAGCCGAAGATTTCAATTCTCTCGCGCGGTCCGAGTGGACACGGGTGATGGGATGTCCTTCCTGACGAACTTGTAGGTACATCCGCCTCATGGCTGCGTTCACATCAACCTTTTGCCGCGACCTCAAAGGTACCACATAGAGCAAGGTTTGAAACTCCATCTCATCGCCCACCTGGTCAAAGACTTCCTTGTACATCTTGCTATAGTCCTCGTTCTTTTGATCCAAATCCATCCGATCTTCTTCTGGAAAAGGTTCGGATTCCTCCTCCTCGGCCAAGAAACCATCATCTTCTTGAAGAACTGGACCTACTCCTCCTCCGTCGTCTACTAGAGGTACTGGACCTGGATCACGTCCTCCATTGACTTCTGGGTGTACTGGACCTGGATCACGTTCTCCATCGACTTCTGGGTGTACTGGACTTGGATCACGTTCTCCATCGGCTTCTGGGTGTACTGGGCCAATGTCCACGTCCTTGTACCCTTCAAGCCTTGGCATACAGTAGGATCCCACCAGGACATAACGGTACTTGCCGTCAGCATCAATTCCTCGTTGTCGAAACGGTCCTGCCACATCCACACTTAGGACATGAGCCGAAGGGTTCGAGACTCGTCTGTGTGGCCTTCCCGTGCCTGC